CATTTCTTGTCTTGTCAAATTATGAATTTCGGTGGAATAATTGGTAAAAAAAAATGAGAGCAAAACATCAACTGAATTGTTGATATCTATGCCACCTTGATCAGAAAAACTTTTTTATCGAAGGCAACAGTGCGTATGGGTGATAAACTTTGAAACCAATTCGCAGACCCTAAAACACGATTTTTTTAAAAAATTTCTTTTGGTATACCTTGAATACCACAATGCGCACCGTATAAGCGGGTGAGAGTAGGACCTTAAAAATTTCCATACAAATGTGGACCGCCCTAATGTACATACATAGATACATATGCAGGCGTTGTGTGTCTTGAATATTGTGCATGTTAAAGGTTATGTATTTATTATTATGTATTTGTGCTTGGATTTCTTATCTAACCAAAGCCAAATGTGGTTGTAAATGTGGACTACGGGACTGCGGAAGATTGGGAATGTAGAAATTATGATTAGTTAATATTTTATCTTCATGAAAAAAACTTACATTTTTACTTGTCCGTCGGTGAGAATCGAACCCGGGTCTCCCGCGCGAGGAGCGAACGGCCTACATACTGGGCCATTGTAGCACTTAAATTTGCTGTGGCAAACCGAGCATTGTATGTAACGGGTCAAGCGGAGAACACATTTGAATACTAATTGCATAATTTTGACCATTCGCGTTTTACTCATTTACATACATATATACATATGTATATATTTATGCTATCGCAATTTATATTATGTGTAGTATATAGTAAATAGCTGAATATAAACCAAATTATTTTCGGTTTACCGCTTGCCATCAATAAAAAAAAAAGGAACAAAAAAAGAGTAAAAAAACAAATAAAAAAAACATTAAAAAAACTTAAAAAAAAAGGTAAAAAATAGTTTGCTCTGGGACTCGAACCAGGGTCGATTCTATTTCTAACCAAGCGCTTTAACCGTCTGCGCTACTAGTACAGCCGCCCGGCAGCTGACAAGTTCTGGCATTGAACATTTTGGTGTGCCAGAGCATGTGAAAACAACTATTTCTATTTTTTAGAAAAACTTTCTAATTTTTAGAAAATGTTTCTATTATTTAGGGTTAGCTCAATTTTAGGGTTAGGGCACTCATTTTTAGAAAAGGTGTTGCCAAAATATTTTATTATTTTCGTTTGCCTTTCTATTTTTCAGAAAATAATTTCTAATTTTAAGGGCATTTTTTCTAGATTTTCGGGTGATTTTAGTTCATGGTAACCATTTTCTACATTTAAGAAAAACTTCCTGGATTTAAGGAAAACTTTCTTGACTTAAGAAAAATTTCCTTAGATTTAGAAATAACTTTCTTGTATTTAGAAAAAAGAAATTTTAATGGCGATTTTCTAAAATTTAGGGTTAAATTTATTTTGAGTGTAGACGCAGAATATTCCATTTAACAAAACCTACTTATAATACTAAATAACTCAATAAAACTAAAATAAATATAATCAAAATCAGTGGGATTGTGTGTACGTTAGGGGAGAGTGGGGGAATTTTGTCAGCATTTTTTCAAAGCTATTTTTTGTCCATCTTGAGACACGTTATCATTATACCCGTTACTCGTAGAGTAAAAGGGTATACTAGATTCGTGCAAAAGTATGTAACAGCTAGAAGGAAGCGTTTCCGACCCCATAAAGTATATATATTCTTGATCAGGGTCACTAGCCGAGTCGATCTAGTCTGTCTGTCTGTCTGTCCGTCTGTATGAACGCAGAGATCTCAGAAACTACAAAAGCTAGAAGGTTGAGATTTCCCACACATATTCTTTGGCTTCCTACGCAGCGCAAGTTTATTTTAGCCGAGCGCCACGCCCCCTCTAACGCCCACAATCGCCCACTAACGATTTTAAAATGGGTCCTGCGCCCACATCTTTAAAGATTTCCGAGAAGTATAAATGCAATTTTGTTGTGTATATTTATACCTATCGAAATGTAGAAGACATTTTTCAAATCGGACCATTCATTAAAAAGTTATACGCAATCAAAATTTATATATCTATCTCCCTCGCACTCCCTTTAGCTGAGTTACGATTATTAGTCGGGACACCAACCCGACACAGCGTTCGCACTCCCTTTAGCTGAGTGACGGGTATTAGATAGTCGGGACAACAACCCGACTATAGCGTTCTCTCTTGTTTTTCTATTTTTATTGTTGAATGCGGTTAGCACCAAGCTTTAAAATGTGACATTCCCCTATTTTTTTTTATTACCTTGGTGATTTATAAAAAATTAAAAAGTAAAACCAATATACTGTGGCAATCTCGCCACACAGGGGGGTAAAATCACCACACCACCGGGGCAATTTCGTCACCTGAAAAATGTAGGGAGTTTAACGCCTGTAAATATGCTACACTGATCAAGCGTACCATTTTTGTTGACGTCCTATATTTGTTGCTGCTGCTGGTAGTCTGTTCGTTAGCCAGCTCGTCAAATATAAAAATATGTAGTTAAAATAGGTGCGAATTTACCCTTAGCGTAGGGTGGCGAAATTTCCCCAGACAGTACTTCTTTAGAAATAATTATTTTTCTTCCGAAATTAGGCGCGAAGTTAAAAATCACTGACGCAGAAATGCACATTATAGCACTGTGTATTATACAAAAAAACCTGTATCTTATCCCTTTTCAATTGTGGCATACAGAAAATATTTCGTCGAGAACTAAATGTAGCTTTTGAACTATTAAAACACATTTAATATAATAGCTTAATTAACTTGGCCTTCTGTGCAAAAAAAACGCATGGGTTGTGTCTGACCGTCTTGAAGGACTAAAACAAAAAAATTATACATTTTTTACGACTTATGGATTCCGAGATATTGCAGGTGACGAAATTACCCCTGTGACGAAATTCCCCCACTCTCCCCTACTTAAAAAACCTCATCACAGCCCGGTCTCACATATATTATATTATTTACTTATGTATATATTTTAAATAAATGGTCCGATTTGGAAAATTGTATTCACATTTCGATAGGTATTAATAAACACAACAAAATTGCATTTGTACTTTTCCGAAATCCTTAAATTTTAAGGTCGTTAAGGGTGATTGCGCTGCGCAGGAGCCCCCAAAAATGATTACTTCCCTTTTTTTATACCCGTTCCCTCCCTGCAAGCATTTTCTATCGCGGAAGTCACTATTTAGTGACGTCTAGAAGATTAAAACGATCGTCCGCGATATCGCATTCGGATCGCCGAAGTCACCCCCGTCGGGAAGAACTGTTCCACTACGGCGGCACTTCTAGAAGTGTCGCCTAAGTCACTTCTGGAAGTGACTTCCGCGATATCGCATTCGGATCGCCGAAGTCACTTCTGAGTGACTCCTAGAAGTGTCGCGGAAGTCACTTCCAGAAGTGACTTTGGGTGACTTCGGCGTCGCTTCTAGAAGTGCCGCCGTAGTGGAACATTTCTTCCCGACGGGGTGACTTCGGCGATCCGAATGCGATATCGTGCAAGTCACTTGTAGAAGTGTCGCCGAAGTCACTTCTGGAAGTTACTCAGAAGACACTTGTAGACGATACCTAGAAGACTCTTTCCCAATTGGAAAATATGTTTTTTGTGCTCATTCTTCATGTTTATTCTTTCAACACATTTATTGAAATATATAGTTACAAAAGCATTGCGGCATGTAAGCACGGTCCATAAGCTTGTAGGAAATGGTGTTGTATTATTTTATTTAATTCCAGTTCCGTGTTCCGTCTATGAAAATGCTTAAAACAACAAAAAAATAATTAATATTGTGCCATATAAAAATCGGAGGAGGTATTTACCTTTTATAATTAAATAAGTGGAGTATAGTTAAGTTTTCGGTTTGCCCAGAGTTTCACGCCAAGTAATTCCTTTTGCTTTCGCATGACAGCCTTGTACAAGCTTAAATCTCGATTTCTCCAATCACTTTAATTTTTGATGTAAATGAATATTGTATTTTATTTATATTCCACCCGTATGTAATATTTAAAAATATCGGGTTCACCGCATTTCATCACAAACACAGAAATTTAGAATAAATCGCACTGATCACAAAGAAATCTCGAAACGAACTGACGCTCGAATTCTAAATACAAAGTGCGTAGGTCAAAGAGAAAAAAGGGTAGTTTTCAGGTATAAAGAGAGAGCCAAGAGCGGACTGTTCCCCAAAAACTTAAAAAAAATAAAACCAAATTCCTTTCTATCTTCAATTTAACTTCCAGAAGTGAATTGGAAGATGTTTTTTCCCCATTGGTTTTGTTTTTGTAAAATGTGTTCTATCGCCTTTTCATCACCCAAAAGTGTCTCAGAAGTTACTTCTTCGCGATCGCAAGCCTTTTTAGGTAGTCAAATGTGATCTATCGCCATTCTATCGTCCAGAAGTGCCTCAGAAGTTACTTCTTCGCGATTTGAACCCTTTTTGTTTTTGTAAAATGTGTTCTATCGTACTTTAATCGTCCAGAAGTGAGCAAGAAGGGACTTCTTCGCGATAGATGTATATTTTGTTTTCGTATAATGTGTTCTGTCGTGTTTCTATCTTCCAGAAGTTACTAAGAAGTGACTTCTGGACGATAGGCGATAGAAATATCGCCCGTTTGCTTGCAGGGTTGCTCGTAGAGTAAAATTGTATATTGCATTCATGCAAAAGTATGTAACAGGTTAAAGGAAGCGTTTCCGAACCTAGAAAGTGTATATATTCTTGATCAGGATCACCAGCCGAGTTGATGTTATATTAATTATTGCATAAACCAAAAACATAGCTATTTTACTTTCAATCTTTGTTGGCAATCTTTGTTGGCATCACTGGTCAGAAGGCAAGAACTGCTGCCGTTGCAGACAGACTTTCACTGGCTGCCTTCATCAGCAGTAACAGTTACTTTACCGCTTAAGCGCATTCCCACATACACTCACAAAAAAAAATTTCCACCAAGTCAGATAAATATGCAGACATTTTTTATACGCCACATAAAATGTTTCTCTTTCTTTTTCGCCTTTCCCGATGATGACGACGATGTCGACGACGGCGCACAGATTTAAGTGGCTTCATTAAATTGCTCGAGCTGCCCAAATACACGAGCGTTGTAAAGACTTTAAATGCGTGCATTAATGTAGACACCAACGTGGAAGTAAACCTTAACGTGGATGTGAACAAAGTCCAAAGGGGCAAGGAGGCTCGGAGTCAGTATGCGAATGTGGACGTTGACCCCCCCAGTCAGGCACGTCAGCATCATCAGCAATATTTGAAGCAGCAAAGACAGGAGCAAGAGCCCCATCGTCATAATCAGCAGGACTCCAAAACGAAACAGTTGTCAACGGGAGATGAGGCCTCCTTATTATCTGACTCGAATGTCGAGTTTCGGTGGAACGACGCCCGCAGCTTCTCGGGTCACTGCCATCAGCTGGCTGAGCAACTGGCCCTTGAATTTAATAAGACCGTGGTCCTGTGGCCCTGTCCGCGAATGAAAGTGAGTACGTCCTTACTTTAAGATCGATAGCAGACAAAGAAACATTGATGAAAGGGAGGATTATCATCAGAAATATAAGTACACGAACCATTGCTGGATTCGAATTTCGGTTCAGAACACATTTTATGAGCATCCTTTTTTAATACTTTAATACTTTAACTATTCTCCCGAGAGTTGGGGTAGATCTTGGAAACAAATAAAACAGGTCGACCAAAATATAGCCCAAGACTAAACGCTGCAAAACCTGAAAGGATTTTAGTTGTAGATTACTACCCCATACTTGCAAATTTTCCATCACGTCACAGTTTTGAGAAAACCGTGTTCAGTTCCAAATTTTCGATATTTAGGCACTTTTTGCGGCTTAATAGAAAGAAAACCCCTCGCAACTTCAACAGCTTCCAATTACCAAGTTGGGCAACCTCAACTCTTTTAGCTAGAATCTACTTTACCCACCTCTTTCTCTGCACCCCATATATGGCTTATAACAAAAACGTTTATTTCTTAAATTATTTTAGTTAAAATTAATTTTAAGGGTTAAAGGCAGGGACCGTAATCATTATAAGTGAAAAAATAAAAATAACCATTTAATGATTATTTGTAAGCGAAAAGAAATATCGCTCAGAAATAATGATTATTATGTGAGCGATATTATTTCGCTTAAAAATATCACTCAAAGTGCGGTTTCAGCCGTTCTGTACGGAATTTTAGAAAAATTTAAATTTGTGCTTGTAGGTAGAACCACGGAGCACATATTGAGTTACTAAGATAGGGTGTTTTAAAAACGCGGTTTTTAGTTACAAGAGGTATGCATAAATACCAAAAGTTCTAGCAATCTTAGGAATTTATGTCATTTATATATTAGCAAAACGACTTGACAAGATGTTATGAACTATTCCACATAGATCCCACCCAACATGTGGGCTGGGTGTTAGTGTGATGGTCCCCCGTGCTGTAAGCACGAGTTCGATTCCCACAGAAAAAAAATTTTGTATACAAAAAACAACCGCTTTTTAAGCGGTTTATACAAAGAAAATTTATTTTTCAAAATAATCATTAAATGGTGATTTATTACTCAAAAAAAAAAAATCATTATTTTCGGTCCGTGGTTGAAGGGGAAAATACATATATATTTCATTACTTTAAATGCGTTTTTATCGAAATTTTTTTTTCTAGGATTGCGTATAGTATATCTCAAAAAGTAATGATTCGATCATCATGCTGCTTTTACAGAAATGTTTGTAATGAAATTGCCTACTGTGTGAACCTACTGTTTAGTCACAGCAATAGTTACACAGGAACACAAAATTAAACTTTGTGAAATTGTGAACCATTTCAAGTTTTCCATGATATTTGGGTGCTCCTGAGTAAAAGTCCCATACAAAATTATTTTCCATCACCTACAGGTTCCGCGGTATAGCTAAGAATACAAAAAACCGATGTTTGCCGACATTTTGAATTACGTGGCCTATATAATTGGACCAACCTTTATTATTTTCGGTAGGACCTACTCTCAATACATCAAGGCATTCCTAAAAAATAGTCCCCATTGTGAACCATTGCCCATGTGTTTGGAATTCGACGCCAAAGTTGAAAATCCCAAAATTGTAGAGATTTTTCTGATGGAAAAACAATTCTGAGGATTAAATCTTGAATGGAAGTAATTTTAACTATTCATTGTATCTATTGTTCATTGTATGCTTTAATTTCGGTTTAAAGCGTTTTCATGAGAACATTTTATTGGATTTCTTATACTAATAAAACCGATTTTTTATTTCATTATCTACTCCTAAATGTTGTCAAATTTTAAAAAAGTCAAGGCATCCTACAGAATGGGAGTAAACATTTACATTTCCCTGTGTATGTTCAGTGAACGTATTTTAGTTTCTTAGTTCTAGAGGTTGCCATGACTTATTCAAAATTTGACAACATTTAGGAGTAGATAATGAAATCAAAAAATCGGTTTTATAAGTATAAGAAATCCAATAAAATGTTCTAATGAAAACGCTGTAAACCGAAATTAAAGCATACAATGAACAATAGATACAATGAATAGTTAAAATTACTTCCATTCGAGATTTAATCCTCAGAATTTTTTTTCCATCAGAAAAATCTCTACAATTTTGGGATTTTCAACTTTGGCGTCGAATTCCAAAGACATGGGCAATGGTTCACAATGGGGACTATTTTTTAGGAATGCCTTGATGTATTGAGAGTAGGCCCAACCGAAAATAATAAAGGTTGGTCCAATTATATAGGCCACGTAATTCAAAATGTCGACAAACATCGGTTTTTTGTATTCTTAGCTATACCGCGGAACCTGTAGGTGATGGAAAATAATTTTGTATGGGACTTTTACTCAGGAGCACCCAAATGTCATGGAAAACTTGAAATGGTTCGTGGAAATTTTTGGCTGTGTACCTGTGTTATAAGTCTGCGCACTAGAGTATCATATATCGGGTCAAGCCGTCAGCAACATTATCAATGACCACCTTATTGGCACAAGCTTCTTCTGCTGAATTGTAACTGGCCTTGCTCCCATTGCCAATAATGCATAATAACCAACACTTTGCCTTATACACAGAAAAAAATATGACAAAATATCAAATTGATAAGTGTTGGTTATTTTGATCTTTTTTAATAATGCATAATAACCAACACTTTGCCTTATACACAGAAAAAAATATGACAAAATATCAAATTGATAAGTGTTGGTTATTTTGATCTTTTTTAAGATCAAGTTTTGTGATATTATTCTAACATGAATAAATATTATTTTGATCTTATTTCATATTATTTGTTCGAAAAAATACCGATTTCGAAATTTTTAAACAAGTATATTTATAATTTATATGAAATCATATGACACTGATATGATAAAATATCAAAAATTTTTAGGAATTGCCCTAGGGGACCAAAGCGCGCGGATTATATGTTATGTAAGCGTATAGTCGGAAGTGTGTGTTCAGTCCCACGTCGAGGTGGAAGTTCTTTGCGTCTTTTTATTTTTTTTTACTCAATAATATTCATATTTAATACAAATTGAGATTTAGTTTATGTAAATGGCTAAGTAAGAGTAAAAACCTCGAACCCAAGAGAACAAATTATGAATGTACTTTGTACAGCGCCTCATGTGATGCTCCCCTGGCGCAGCTAGTAGAGTGTTTGACTGCAAAATGTGACGCAAGGGGTTCGATTCCCACGAGCGACCAAGATGTTTTTCTCAAGTTAGTAAGTTATTTGATTTTTATATTCATAATTTGCTAATTATACAATAAATTCAGTTATTATTTCAGATAAAATCTGTAACTAAAAGTAGTTTATGTACGAACAAGTTGAGAAACAGGAACTTATGCAACAGGGATAACTCCCGATTCCCCAAGTTTTATTTTCTTTTTCTTGTTCAATTTTTATCTGATATCGAGAGCGCAAAATTCAAATGTTATTTTAAAAATTAATCTTTCTTAAGATTGAATTGATATTTAAAAATATCAACTTGATATTCTAGAAAATATCAACTTGATATGTTCGAAATATTAATGTTGCATTAATTAATATCGGCCCAAATTTGATATGAAATAATGTTAACTTAAGTGCAATTTCATATCAATTTTTTTTTCTGTGTGGTCCCAGAAATTGCATATGGCGCAACCTTGTGAAAGATTTGTCCAAAACATTGTGTTAAAGTCCTGAAAATTTGATATTATGTTTAACAGCTCGATATAAGAAACTTTAGTTCTACCACTTTTGGAAAAAACCCGCCAGTTTAGCGGAAAAACAGCTATAAATAGCTAAAATACGGAAGGCCGTAACTTCTACTGAAGCTACAGACTTGTGCTGTATCTTGTTTGAAAGGTATTTTAAAATGCTTTAAGCGCCTTCTGTATGTAATTTGTGTAAATGTAATATTTAAAAAGATATGCACAAAACAAATTTTTTGTAAACTTTTTTTTTCTCAAAAACAATTTCCTTTAAAACTTCAAACTGTATAGTCCTTGAGATTCCTTAAATTTTGGTATACATCATGTTACTGTAAAAAATTACGTTTAAAAGTAATTCAGAAACGAAAATAGCCACTTTGCCAGCTCAAAACAACTTACGCTGCCTAAGCATTGAATTTAGTATGTGCGAGTCCAAACTGTATTTTAAGGTCATGGAATCATAACCTTGTCACAGAACTAGAATCTAGTAATTATAGTCCAAAAATGTTAGGTCTTTTAAAAAATATATAAAAAGAAAAGTTTTTAAAAAACTTTAATTTATTTATTTTTTTTTTTTAGTTTTTAAAAATTAAAACATAAAAAAATAAACTAATCAAAATTTTTTAATAATTTTTAAAAATTACAACATAAAAAAAAAAAACTAAAAAAAACAAAAACTTTTAAAAAAAAAAGTTTTTTTGTGTTGGAAAAAAATGGATTTGTTTTTAAATTCTGACTTTGCCGATTTGTAAGTACGCCTCTGCCACGCCCACTCCCTGTCTCAAGCAATAATTTGAAAGGTGGATAAATTATCTATCACTTGCCGTTTACATCATTCAATTATCTTCACTGGTTCAAAAGTTATGATTTATTACCAAAAAAAGTCAAAAGGCGCCACTGTGCGTCGGTAAGAACGCTGGCAATTTCCGCTTGCATCCGCTGCATTCCAGTAGCCAGCAGCGTTAGCTGGGCAGTTCAGATCACAAATGCTTGCTGTAAGTGGTCGCCTTGATAGCTGCCTCGTTCCTTGTTGATTGTTGCAAGTTGATGCTCGAAATTTCTGATGCGGCTATCAGTGGATGACTTGTTTATAGTAGAATCCAAGATCGACGCTTTATTCTTGAGCAGCATCATCAACACATCTTCTCTGGATTTCACCTCATTTATAACCTTGGCCATGTCGTCTGCATACCTGGCGTCAAGTAAGTCAAATAGTGAGTTAGCCACGTTAACTACTACATCGAGTGGTTATCTTCGCTGTCGGGAATGGTTGATCAGATAACTTCCTTCTGAAAATGCTCA